CTACACAAGTCAGTTCAAAGCTCTGTTCAGGTCCGAATAATATGGGTCTTCTGCAAAAATGATTGGGAAACGATTTTGGAGAACTTAGACTGGGCGGGGGAATAATTGCCAAGCGCCTGATTTAGAATGCAGTATAGTGCAATAAAGTGTTGGAGTAAGTAACCCTTTTACACTAATCATGTCTCTCTCTCTCTCAGTCTCTCTCTCTCTCAGTCTCTCTCTCTCTCTCTCTCTATATTTATTTTTGTAGTGGATCATTTTATATCTAAAGGCTCTTCAGACATGCTTCATTTAATCTCTGATGTTACCCATTGGCTTAGCACTGGGCCAACGGCTTCTGTACACCATAAAAACAGACCCGAGTAATTGTATGTCTGTCAATGTGAAACTGCATCAGCTGGTGGAGTTGGACTCTAATTTAAAGTGGCAGTTGTTTCCCAAATACATGTATCTATAGACTTATGGTGTTTTACATGGCATGGCGTATCACTGATTTAGGGGTTGAGTACATGGGATAAAGTGTACAGAGTCAAATTCCAGGGGTAAAGTCACGTTTCCCACCATCTCGAAACAGTTCAGGTCCAACAAGCTTTCCCATTGAAGCAGCACTTGATGGGAGTGATGGATAATCTAGACAATTTTAACGCCACTATCCCATATTTTTTCCATCACTGCTGCTTGGAGCTTTGTGATGCACTGTCCCTTTCCACTCCCCTTGTCCAGAAAAAAGCGGAAATTAGAGGCAAATATTTACAAGTAAAGAATAATCATAAGAGGTTATTTTTTTGGTCAGCTGTTATTGAATCTGGTCAGCACACAGTCCGAAATCAATGACCATTCAATCGTCAAGACAGTTTCCTGTCCTCTAAAAGATTCACTTGTCAGTTAATACGAGCCAAACGTATATTTTCCCACGGCAGTGTTCTGCCAATGCTGGAGCAGTAAAAAAGGCCTGCGTGTGATGATAATTCACAAATAATATTTATAAGGAAGCTTTCAAATGAGAGGTCACAACTGATCTATTAGAGTCTCATTATTAGAGTCTACAGAGGGTTTGTGTAGCTCTGCTCTGTTCCCTGCCAGCAAATTATCCAGACCTTTTCAGAACTCAGCACAAGACGAGTCGGTTTGTCACTTACCCAAAATATACGTGTCTCATTCATTTGTAGTGAAGGCGAGGCTGAGACACGTTACATGAAAAACTGTTTGTCAGCTTTGATGAATTGTTTTTTTACCTGTATATATAGAGACAGCAGAGCCCCAGTCGGACGCTGTGAGAGATGCCTCATTTGGTTAATGCACCAACCTACCTCTTCAGATTTCATTTTAATTGAAAAATGGCATAGTAAGCACCATAACCACTGTAGCTCATTGCAGTAATGATAATCTTATGTTTTAAGCAGTTTGGCAACTCTCTCTGAGAACCAACCTCTTTTAATCCCTTCCACAATATTGGTGGTTATTATTGATTGATTATCGATATCATTGTCTGCATTTCAGACCCCGTGAGATATGTTTTAGAACTTCAGTTTTTATATTGTTATTTTAATGAATGATGTCAAAGGCAGGAAACAGCCACCAATCTACATCAAGTCCACATAGTGGGATTATAAAGGACAATATTAAAGGAACACTAAAGTTTTAGGAATATAAAATTGCACTCCTATCACTAAAGTATCCCTAACGCGACCCCCCACCAACCCCAACCCCCTCACCGGTGACAAATAAAGGATTAAATAACTTTTTTTCCCACCTACCTGATTCCAGCGCCAATGTACTTCAGCGCTGGGTCAGGATCCTCCGGGCTCCGACGTCAGCCGATGTGGACATAGCCCTGATTGTGTCCTAAAAAATGTCAAGTGAGAGTCAGTAGGCTTTTTGCTTTAGGGGAAGTGTATATACACATGTGTACTAATGTGACTGTGTTGTTAATTAGCTAAGTGTGCGTAGCAAGTTGTTGTGCGTCATTTTTCATGTGTGTGTGTCTAATTTGTATGTAGCTAGTTAAATACTTGTCACTATTCATATATGTATTTGTGCAGGCACAAATGTCCCCTCAAAATTGCCTCACTTGTGGTCCAAAAAAATTGTAAGGACTGGCGTTTACCTTTGAATGAATTTAGTTTAGCTTATTATATATCTGAAAATAAAAATGATGTCAGTCTAAATATTGCATGTCATTGCTGCCTAACATTTTCATTTTTAAGTAAAGTAAATGTGTTTTTATTTCTTATTGGGTACCGTAATGTAAAAAATGAATAAGCAAACTCTCATTAAGGATACCATATAAATAATGATATTATTAACAGCTACATTCCGCTCGGTCATTTATGATTTGTGTGAGTGTGTCTTCATAAATATAATTCAACCTTTGTTTTAAGGCAGGCATCCAGATTAACAAAATACTCAGAACACATTGAGCATTTAGCATGCGTGTGGATTCTGCCATTGTCTTGACAGTTTATATAATTGCGGATTTCAGTAAAAAACTGGACTTTTATAATTGGAGGCAGTATCACCTCCCTGGCTGTTTGGCTCTTTTTCAATGATGCATTCCTGGACTGACAGACTGACTGTTCGTCCATAGAAAAGGAGGGGATGAATGGCAAAGGCTGCAGACAGCCTTCTGCATGCATGGTTTTTAACGGGGTACATTTACTAAACTGTTAAATAAATATCAAGCAATCAAGGAAACGTTCTATACCTTTCCCTGATTGGAGTGCCTGGATTGGCCAATGCACACTGAGAACAATAAACTAGCCCATGTGGCAAACGTGTGTTAGGGTTACGGTTTTGGGTTACGGTATTACTGGGCAATTTAACTAGCAGCGTGTAGGGATGCTAGTCCATCATGCTTTCCAGAATACCTCCATATATTTCAAATGGACAGAGAGGGTCATTTTTATTTTAGGGGTGTGTGGTGGGTGTTGCCAAGGGTGGGGCTGTTCCGATGAATTTTAGGTGACTTACAAATTACAATCTATACAACTAAAATGTAATTTAGAGCAATAACAATGTGTCTTATTTACACAGACTTATTTCTAAACAAATTTACTGTAGTTTGAAGACACATTACTGGGAGTATTATTGCTGTTATACACTCAGAGACATTACTGTGAGTATTATTGCTGCGGGGCTCTGTTATACACTCAGACACATTACTGGGAGTATTATTGCTGTGGAGCTCTGTTATACACTCAGACACATTACTGGGAGTATTATTGCTGTGGAGCTCTGTTATACACTCAGACACATTACTGGGAGTATTATTGCTGTTATACACTCAGAGACATTACTGGGAGTATTATTGCTGTGGAGCTCTGTTATACACTCAGAGACATTACTGGGAGTATTATTTCTGTGGAGCTCTGTTATACACTCAGACACATTACTGGGAGTATTATTGCTGTGGAGCTCTGTTATACACTCAGACACATTACTGGGAGTATTATTGCTGTGGAGCTCTGTTATACACTCAGACACATTACTGGGAGTATTATTGCTGTGGAGCTCTGTTATACACTCAGACACATTACTGGGGGTAATATTGCTGTGGAGCTCTGTTATACACTCAGACACATTACTGGGAGTATTATTGCTGTGGAGCTCTGTTATACACTCAGACACATTACTGGGGGTATTATTGCTGTGGAGCTCTGTTATACACCCAGACACATTACTGGGAGTGTTATTGCTGTGGAGCTCTGTTTTACACTCAGACACATTACTGGGAGTATTATTGCTGTGGAGCTCTGTTATACACTCAGACACATTACTGGGAGTATTATTGCTGGGGAGCTCTGTTATACACTCAGACACATTACTGGAGTATTATTGCTGTGGAGCTCTGTAATACACTCAGACACATTACTGGAGTATTATTGCTGTCGAGCTCTGTTATACAATTTTTTATTGTTTTTCTAAATCCTGCAGACTATGAAGGCTACATACAGCCGGGGAGCACTTTCATGTACAGCCCAGCAACACGCAGGAATGGTGTGACAAACACTCCTTCCCACGTATGTTTGCCACAGGCTCCTGGAGGAGTGTAGAAGCCGGCCTCCTTCCCATCAACTATGGTCCAGGTCTGGGGCACCGTTTGGGAGTTATTATATATGTAGCGGGATAGAGAACCTAACTACAATGCATGGATCTGAATGCCATTTGGAGAACTTGGGCGCACAGATCAGAGCTATTTAACAATGTCTTGTTTGTGGGGTTCCCTTGTGTTTTCCCTTGGACTGATTCTGCCCTGGGAGAGGGGAGTGGGAGAGGAGAATGGCTACCGTTTTGCCCACCCACACAAAGAGACCCACTTGTCAAGTCACATTGGACCCCCAAGGACTTGGACTTGGACTCAGGGGGGTCCAACAGACTTGTTGCAGGCCCGTCGTGGGTCTGGCCACAAGTCTAACTATTCCTATGGTGGAGATATGTGATGGATAGCCTAACTTGTTTGGCGCCAGTTTTGTGACTGTTTTCCATGTATCTAGATATCGCTGTATTGTGTACCTGTATTCTACATAGGGCAGTGTGTATGTCTGTATATGCAGCTGTGGGTCAACAAAGGAGGGTGGGGAGCAGGGCTCGAGTCCTGCAGGAACGCATGGGAACGGCGTTCCTGCACTTTTTCCAAAGCAGGAACGCCGTTCCCGTTACCTGTCCTGCAGGACCGGCCCTGGTCCCTGCACTGAGGGGCCGTCACATGCTGTGTTCCCCCTCCAGCTATTACTCTCGCGAGACCCGCGGCTGTTACCATGGCAACGCTCCGCACAGGCGAGTCTCGCGAGAGTTAGAGCTGGAGAGGGAACACTGCGTGTGATGGCCCCTCTGTGCAGCGGCTGCCTCCCTCCAGCATACCACCGGACCACCAGGCGATCTCCCCCCTCCCTGACAAGGTAAGAAGCAGGGAGGGGGGAATAAAATAAAAAATATACATAAAGTAAAAAAATGCTTCCCCCCCCCACACATCATCCAGCACACACACACCCATCATCCAGCACTCACACACCCATCATCCAGCACACACACACCCATCATCCAGCACTCACACACCCATCATCCAGCACTCACACACACCCATCATCCAGCACTCACACACCCATCATCCAGCCCTCACACACACACACCCATCATACAGCACTCACACCCATCATCCAGCACTTACACACACCCATCATCCAGCACTCACACACACCCATCATCCAGCACTCACACACACCCATCATCCAGCACTCACACACACCCATCATCCTGCACTCACACACACACATCATCCTGCACTCACACACACATCATCCAGCGCACTCACACACATCATCCAGCGCACGCACACACACACCCATCATCCAGCACTCCACACACACATCATCCAGCACTCACACACCCATCATCCAGCACACACAACCCATCCAGCACTCACACACCCATCATCCAGCACTCACACACACACACCCATCATACAGCACTCACACACCCATCATCCAGCACTCACACACACATCATCCAGCACA